TGAGTATCCACCCAAAAGAAAAGAAATAAATATTTCAAAGGGATGCTACTACTCGCATGTTTATTACAGCACTATTCACAATAGCAAAGATATGGAATAAACCTAAGTGTTTATCAGTGGATGAATGGATAAAGAAAATGTGGTACATATACACTGTGGAATACTATTCAACCATAAAAAGGAATAAAATCCTGTCATTTGCAGCAACATAGATGGAACTGGAGGCTATTATCTTAAGTGAAATAAACCAAGCACAGACAGACAAATATCACATGTTCTCACTTATATGTGGGAGCTAAAAATTGTGATCACATGGATGTAGAAAGTGGAAAGGTAGATAACAGGCTGGGAAGAGTGAAATCGGGGCAGAGAAGGAAGGATGAAGAGAAGTGTGTAAAGGGTGCAAACATACGGTAGAAGGGGTAAGTTTAATGTTTGATAGCAGAATAGAGTGACTGTATCTGACCAAATAAATGTATTGTACTCAGAGAATAGACACCGTAAATACCTTGACTTGATCACTGCACCTTATATGCATGTAACAAGATTTCTCATGTACAATAAATTTGTATAAACAAACACATTTGTCTTTTCTCATATTTGTGTTGAACATAGTAATTGCAGTAAATTATGTACCAAAGGAAATTTAGGTACTATGTATTCACATATGAAGAAAACTTCTCACTTTATTTTCAAGGGCAGAAAGCCACTTTGCTGATTCAGTGATGTAGATAGCGGCATGTTCCTCTATTTTGTTGTTAACCTCTTTCGGCTTCTAATGATTTTCCTTTGATCATTTGCCCTGTTCTTAAGATTGCCTTTGACTGGCTCTGTCCCACATATTGAATATCTTTGAGATTTCTATTTACAGTTTATTTACTTTATTGGCCCCTGTTATGTGTTTACCTTCCCAGCTTATATTGCTACTTTTGTCCCACTCTTTGTCATGACCTTTTTGGCCGCTCACTTTCCTGTCTTAGGCTGCCTGGAGTTTGCTGGTGTCAGTCCTTGTACCATACTTTTAGTTTACTGCTTCCCTAAGGAAATCTTCAACTATCCTGAATCATAGATGGACACACACCCCTCCAGCTAGAAGTTACATTTAAAATACCTTTTCTCACGTAAGATCCTTTTTGATAATTGACACAAGAGTAATAAAGTGAGCTTACAGTATTGGCTTTCCAAACCATTAGAATTGAATTTGTAATCCATAAAACCTAGAGATAAGTGTCTTTAAACAGACTTTTTAAAAACAAAGATAAAGGAGCAGTTACTTCTAACATATAAAGTTGCATTTAGGGCAAAGAGGAGAATATTTTAGAGCCAATTGCTTTGTTTACTGGCTGCATACGTCATCTGTGGGGAGGCAAGTGGTTTCCACTTGGAACAGTAACTCTATCTCTTTGTAGAAGCTATTCTTGTCAAGTCACCAGTGTTTTCATTTTGCCAAGTGCGGTGGTATTTGGTTAGTCCTTGTTTTATTTGACCACATTTGACACAGTTGATCACTCTCTCACTGTTGAGACCACTTTCCATACTTCCAGGACACCACAATCTCCTTGTTTTCCTTCTACCTCACTTACGGTTTTTAACTTTTTTTTTTCTTTAACTTATTTCTCTAATCTCCACGTTGAAACCTACAGTTGAAAAATGCCCTAAACAATTCTTACTCCTCCTTTTTCCTCTGTACTGTCCCCTGGGTGATTCCATCTGAGATCTTGGTTTTTATATATTATTGCTATAGTAATTGCTTTATTTTGAACTGGAGTCTTCTATCTTCAATTTCCTTGTCAGCTTTTAAAATTTAGATCACTACTAGACATTTCCAACTTATCATCTCCAAAACTGAATCCTTCTCTCTTCCCAAGCCTGTTTCTTCCATGGTCATTTGTGTTTCAATAAGTTACAATTTCGTCCTTGAAGTTGCTCAGGCCCAAAACCTTGGAGTCAGTCTTGATTCCTCTTTCTCTCAAAGAAATTTCCATCTTTTTTTCACACCTGTATATCTAGTACCACGAACGGTGCCTGGTGTATAGTAGGCATCAATAAATAGGCTTTGAAGGAATGAAGTATGTGAGCCAATATCAGGGTAAACTGCCTGATATTGCCCAAAGATGGAAACTTTAGTTAACTAGGTGCTCTCAAGAAGATAGAAGCTCCTTATTTTCTTACCCTTATTAGCTCAGAGGGAGGTTGGTTTTGTAATGTATCACAATGATTTCTATAACATGCAAATTAAGAGAGATCATATGCTGCATTTTTGGAACATCAAATACAGCACAGAGATTACTTCCTTATGACAAATATCTCACTTTTGTTTCTCATTTTTTGAGTATGCATATCTCCAGTTGACAGAAGTTGTAGGTACTCAGTAATTATTTTTTTAGTGAATGAATGATTCTAATATACATCTCGATCAGAATTTTGGAAGTAGGATTTATCTTATTCTCTAAAACCTGTTGCTCTTCTTAAATTTTGTATGTCTGCTAATGGTACCACTTTCTATCTAATTAAACAACAAAAGTGGGAAGCCTCTTGTAAATGCTTTTCTTGTACCTCATTCTATCAGTTTATATTTCAAATGTTGTTCAAACCTTCCTCCTTGCTCAAAAATTTACTTCTACAGTAGCTTCTGAACTTGAATCTATTGCCTCTGTTATTGTCCCCGCTTTGCGTAAAATTCCTTACGATTTTCACTATTTCTGGCTGAATCTGAATTTTGTGACTTGACACACAAGGCTATGCCTTATCTGTCTCCTGTCTCCTTGTTCGACCTCATTTCTTGACTTCTTCCCATTACTTCCCTTTCTACCTTGACAAAGTACTCACAAAATTTGAATTACTTGTAATTTAAAGGTTCCATGTCTTTGAACATGTTAATTCCTGTGCTTAGAACTTCCTTCTTCACTTCTGCATCAGGCCATTTTATTAATCCTTGAGTCGGTATTTTATTCAGCTGTCCTAGTTCTCGTTTAGCATCTCCATATTCCCATTATTTACCAAACATATTTCTTATAGTATATAGTATGTTTAAATCATTTTACTGATATATCTTCATTGGACAGGCAAAATGTCCTCTTAGCCTTTGTAGTTTTTTAACCTTTCTCGGTGTTTCTAGGAGTTGATTGATATGGCATAAATGCTGATTGACACTCCCTTCTGCTGGTATACTAAATTATTGTGAAATTATGTGATACCACAGGTATGTATCTCATTATGTATAAAACCTGGAAGGAATTCCTTGGTCTTTACCTTGATTATAGAATTATTTATCCATAAAGAACAATACATTTTAGTGCATTCCTATATATATTCACAGACATGTTTGCATGATTTAAATTAAATAGATTGTAAGCCATGGTAATGGAAAATTATGATTAGAATTGGGAAGCAATTTTATAAATTTAACTTGAATTCATTATTTCAATTTAATTTCCTATTTCTTCTTCTATGGAGAATTACCTTTTTGAATATTTCCTGGAAATAATTTGGATTATCCTTTCCCGTATTTCTCAATTTCATGCTACTGTTGTCTACATATATTTATTTTCCAGTTAGGTGATATTTACTGCTAGTTTTTGTGTTCCTTTTTTTTGCTGCTTTCTTTGAGTTGTCTGTAATTTGTGTTTTTCTAGAAGCCAGGTGACTGAGTTTGATTTAGTTTCTCTGATTGTAGAGAAAAATTATTTATTTGCTCTTTGAGATCTTTGAAAATTATATGGCATTGCTGAAAAAAACATTTGTAGTTCCTGGGTAATGACTGGCAAGGAGGTGGAAGGAAAAAATTTTAAACTTGACTTTTTGACATGAACTGGTTACAGCTGAATGAACATGTACCGGAAAGGTAGATTCTGTTAATTTTTTTTTTTTTTTAAGTATGTTTTTCTTCTTCCTCTCTCTTCTGACATATTTCCCATTCCCACTTTAAACAACCTTAAGTTTCGACAGTAGAGGCATGCTGGTCAGATTTTAATGCTTAGATATCAAATATAACAATTACTATATATTTCCAACAGCGGGAATTGAGACTCCTGTTGGTGTCTTACTCCAAAACAGCATTTTAAATTCATATAAACCTTGCTTTAAGGGATGGAGAAAAGACAATTTAGGGAACAGCATGAGGTTAAACATATTGATCAGTAGTCCAGTAGTTCTTGCTAGACTTGGATAGAATGTAGACTTTAGAAAAATAGTATTATCAACAACAACAAAGAATGCTTCTCTAGAGAGACTGTCTTTTGTTTGCATTTTACGGATTTTGGAGGATGAAAGATATATTTTAGCCAAGGATAAAAAAAAGTGGAGAAGTTGAAAGTTGAAGTGTTAAACATGAGCTGAAAAATTTTGTGATTTAAAAATTTTTATCATTTAAGTTCTATATTAAAGGATTTACTGAGCTCTGTTATTTATTTCTAGTTAAAACATAGGGTAATTTTGAATTTTTGCCAAAGTGTGAGATCCATTGCCTGATAAATTAACTTCTAGAAATTAATTATACAGTGTTTATTTATAACCTTGTTAACCAGAGTTAAGACCTTTGTTGACCTTGAAGTCTTTGGGACTTTGAGTCTCTCTTGATGAATGGAAAATTATTTTATTATCCTATTTTAGGTAAGTGTTATCTATGCAATAGATGTTTATCATTTTCAACTAAGATATGTTAAATTTCTCTTGTATGTGTGTAGAGTAATATTATTGGACAGAAACTTAGCTTTTGGTTACAAGTTTTTTTTGTTTTTTTTTTTTAATGGAGCAGTAGTAATGGCTAATGTTTTTCCATCTTCCTTTCACCTCAGTAACCCTCAAATAAATAAGAAATAAATAACTCCACTGAAACTTTATTTCTTCTGTAGTTTATAACTGACTAAAATATTTTGCTTACAAATTGTTTTAATAGGAAAGATATTTAATAATGCTGGAACAAAACATTGAAGTTTAGTTTTGTTACTCTTTCTTTAATGTTGGAAGCCCAGTCTGTCTCACTGTTTGATCTCTTGTAGGTAGCTTGTATGCAGCTCATCAATGCCCTGGTTACATCTCCTGATGATTTGGACTTTAGGCTTCACATCAGAAATGAATTTATGCGTTGTGGATTGAAAGAGATATTGCCAGTAAGTGCCCTGCAGTCTCCTTATTAATATTTAAATTAAAAGAGTACTTCAGTAGGGGGAAATTTAGATAAACTACCTTGAAGAATAATTTGTCTGTAGGAAAAGGCTTGAGTTTAAAAATCCATTTTTGAAATATAAATGATAAGATTTGAGTGTTATTTAACACTTTAAATATTTGAATGCTATCAATCAAGTTGAATGGTTGGTTTATTGTTTATATGTTTTTTATCCTTTTGCATAATTAAAAACAATCATTCATCATAATTTTTATTTCTATCTCTAGAATTTAAAATGCATTAAGAATGATGGCCTGGATATCCAACTTAAAGTCTTTGATGAGCATAAAGAGGAAGATTTGATTGAGTTATCCCATCGCCTCGAAGATATTAGAGCTGAACTTGAATATCCTTTTGTTCTAAAGTCTAGTCAAATCATATATAAAATTATTGCTAAATCCAAAACACTCAACCACAAATATTTAGCTCATTTCTATGTAACCAACATGAAATCAAACCTTCATGCGTCAGAAGAATGTTATTATTTTATTAGTTTGTGTGTTTTTATGAATACACCTATATGTAAGTGCATGCTGCAACTAACAAATGGATGCTGTAGATTAACTTATATGTATGTGTGCAATCTGTTCTGTTTTCTTTTTATATTTGACACTTCTCCTTCTACTCCGGGCTTTTCAGCTCTAGGAAAAGGGCAGTCTTAGTCACTGGCTGCTCTTTCCCTGCACCTTGGGTGCATACTCATGAGTAGCATGTTAATCTGTGGGTCTGCAGATATCTGTGCTTCTCATGAGACCTACCAGGTTCCTATCCTCACCTGGGGCTTCTTCATGATAGATTATGCCTGACCACCAGCTCTGTTGGTCAGACAACCTTTAGAATTCAAGATTATGCCTGACCACCAGCTCTGTTGGTCAGGCAACCTTTAGAATTCAACACAGTATTCATAGATAGCTTCTCTACTATCTTTGTTCTCAACAGCCTCTGTGCTTAGGCGAGACAGATAGTTTGAGCTGATTGTAGAAGGGAAGTCAGGAAGTGTCAGGTTAAGTCACCATTTCCAGAGTTTTTCCACTACCCTCAATGCTAAATATCTGTATTTTATATTGAATATATAAGATGCCTGTATTAGAGTTTCAAAACCTTACAGAACAAATTCTGTCATATTATTGTAGTTGTTTGGTGTAGAGCATAAATAAATCCATATATTCCTTAATCAACTCACTGAAGCATATGATGTTTACAACATGGTGTGGAGCACGGTTAAAGAAACTAGAGCAGAGGGATATTTTATTTCTATTCTTCAGCATCTTTTGCTGATTCGAAATGATTATTTTATAAGGTAAGAAGAAGTTATATTCTAATGTTTTCTTTCACTAATAAAAATCTATTAATTGTGAAATTCACATCATATTTGCCTTTGACAAGCAAATGATTTTTATGTTTGTCATAACACTGATTCCTAGAATGTATTGTTTCCTCTGGGTACATATTTAGGTAGATGATGGTAAAATGATATTACTATTACTTTTTAAGCTCCTGTGGATTCCTGGTTACAACCTTTCATCTGAATAAAAATGCAAACAAGCAACAAATTACTAGTTTATCATGTGATAGATAATATTTTCTGGTTATTCCTTAGGCAGTAGAAATGATGTTGATAAGTTTCTTCTTATAAGTTACATGAAGGGCACTAAACATTGCCTTTATTCATGTTTAAGTAGCTGGCAAGCCTTAATAATACAGTTGTGTTTAATGTTGCCAATATATCAAAAAGCCAGACAAATGGCTTTTAAAGATTGATTATGTCCTAGCCATCTGAATTTAACAAATTATTTATCTTTTTTTTTTTTTTTTTTAACCTCGTCTACATTATAATGTGACTAAATATGGATGTTAGTGCCTAACTCACTGGGTTGTTAGGTAGGTGAAATATGGGAAAGTGGGTAAAACTTCTAGCCAAACCCTTGGCATATGGTGTATGCTTAGTAAATGTTCTCTGTATCTACTTTCCATATTACTCTTTTATGGTGGAAGCTGAGCTCTTTGAATATAAAATCGTTTTGTTGCCACCAATTTAGGTTTGCTGAAATTTCATTCTCTTATACTTTGGGTGGTTTTTTCTTTTCTACTTAATTTCAAGTAGAATAATTTTTTAGACAAACTTCATTCAGGCTATGTCCTCTGGGTAATGTCAGAGGGTATAACTCAATGATTTTTTGATGTACCTAACAAGCAAGGAGGAGACCCAAAATGTTAAAACTTTAGGTTTTCCGGATGTGGATAGGACATACATCAAAATTACTCTTTGTAGCCAGAAATCTCACTGATATTCTAAAATATGAGTTTAGTAACTGATTTTTTAAAATTTGCTTCTTTCTGATATTTTATTGAAAATAAACCAGTTTAAATATTTACATACTTGATAAATGCTAGATTAAGAATTGCTAATTTAGATTTTAAAATATCATTTGTATCATGCTGTTTATGATAGTAACTACTCCAAATTTACTTAAAAATGAAACTGAAACTTCTACTTTCTCTAAAGTAAACTCCATACATTTTTTGATCTGTGTGTGGTCGGTCCTGTCGTCTTTTGGATATTTGACGCTGTTTGAGTACCCAGGAATTTAAGACTGTTGTTTTTTTTCAATGGTTTGAACATGCCTGTAGTCCTGCAGGGGTTTATCATGCTTATGACTTTGATCCCTTCACCTGTGCCCTGAGAGGGCATGTGGTTGTATCTAGCTTCAAAACAGATTAAAAAACACAGTTGTTTTAGGTTGTGTTCAGGTGATCCTATCATTTGAGTTAACTCAAGAGTCTTGGAGAAAGATTAACTTGTGGCATTACCAAAATGACATTAAGGCATAGAAATTTAGATATTTGGCCATCTTTTGAGTATGAACTTCTACATTTGATGCTCATCTATGTTAATTCCTTCTTTGGCTCTTTAAACTCCAGGTATCTTGGTTCCAGATATGGTTGCCACAAAGGCAGTGTTCTTCCTGTGACTGCTATACTCAAGACAACTCCATCAATTTTGTCCTCATGTTTCCAAACTCTCCTATTTATTATCGTGGTTGTTAATATTTCTTAAAAATATGTTATGTTTTTATCCCAAGATTGTGTCAGAATTGTGATAATTCACATATATTTTTGTCGTGCATTTATTTTTTTAAAGTTTTATTTATTTAAATACAGTAAAACTTACTCTTGTTGGTGTACACATCTATGAGTGTTTTTTTTTGTTTGTTTGTTTGTTTTTTATCTTCATTTTTTGGTTTCATCTACCTCAGAAGGACCTCTATTTTACTGTTTCAGCAATCTTAGATAACCTGTAACATTTTTTGTTTAATGAGCTCTTTAAACTACTCTTGATATGAACATACATAATTTTTCTTTTTCTTTTTACAAACAACAGGTTGTTCCATTGCAGAATGTTAAATGTTCTCATTTGAAAGAATTGGTGGTTGGAAAAATTAGAATCTTTTTTCATTTCTACTTTTGGAACAAAAGAAAGTTTGACAGAAATGGAATTCGATTGGAGAATATATGTCAAAGGCAGCCCCTTTACCCCAGGAAAAAGGGAGGGGGCTGAAATAAAGCAAGATAATTGGGTGGAGAAGATCAAATTCAGTTTTGCGTAGAATAATTAAGGCTTACCATGACTAAAATACTATGGTAGTTAAATGAGCATGGGAGATAATTTCTGACATTTGTTAACAATACTACAGAGAAAAATGAAGATTTCAAAAACTCCTCCAACAAAAATAACATTTTATCAGTAATGACAACTTAATGTTCATCCCTTAATTAAGTTATTTGCATATTCCTCAGACACGTTTACTACCTCACCAGTATTGCTCATGGAGATTATTTTCTAGATTTACATTTTTGGAATCCAGAAATGTTGTATATTATTCTTTGCTAGTATTGCCTCCCCAAAGAGTTTTTGCATGAAATTTCAGCTACATTACAGATGAACTCATAATTGGACATTATGGAGTTGAGGAAAAACTTACTAAAATTATGATTTCTTAAAAAAATGACATGAAATAGTTTGTGTTGTTAATTTAAAACATTTTCATTTTAAAAACATTAGAATAATATTAAGAGTAAAAAAGAAATACATCATTGAGATTTTTAAATGTGATAGATATAAATGTGTTTAAATGTATATACCACGTCTAAATGTGGTAATTACGGCAGAAATATTTGGGAATGGGAGATAATGTCTTGAAAGAACTTGAACAAATAGAGGCATAGATAACACTTTTGATTTGTGCTCAGGAACCGTTTCTTAAACATTTTTACTCTATGACAGTTAATGATCATTAGTCATCTTTGCTAGTGTTAAGCTGTAGTAGATTTTCTTCACCATAATACATGGTTTATTAGGTGTAAGGTAAGTAGGTCAAGAGCAGTGGGTCATAGTTTATGGAAAGGAAAGCCTAACTGTCTTGAGGGACCAACACTTAGGTGATGAGGAGGATTTACAGAGGAGAAGTATGCTAAAAGTCATTAAGGAAAGAAGTTCTAGGAGATGATTTGGTATGGAGGACTGTGCTTCATTAGAATAGTACCCAACCTGTTTATCACTTTAGTTTGGTTTTACTTATAAAATCTTTTATCTGTTTCACGTTTATTAAATCTTAAGGGATGTTTTGCTTATTGCCAAAGTAGATGGACTAGACTTAACTGTAATGACAACATAAAATCTACTTGGAGATTTTACTTAAACTTCAATTTTTGGACAAATATTATTATACTGAATTTTTCATTTCTCTTTGAGTAAGAAATGTGAATTTGATATTGTATATAACTTACAGTATGAGTTTTAAATTTGATTTCACAAACACTTGGAAAACAGTATACCATATACTACCATAAAACTTTTTAGAAAAGATTTTTGTTTATTTTGATTATATTATGAAGTGAGTTAATGGTAGCTATTTCAGTGTGGTACAGTGGAAAGTTGATGACCTCTGAGCACTAATTTTAAACACTTACCACTTCACTTTCAGCTAATTTACTTAATTCAAGGTTTTGACTTTTATTAAGAAAATTAAGGGACACTATATTTCCTAAAAGACTATAAAAATATGATGTTTTGAATTCATTAAAAGCAAAGTGATGACAATTGTATTTACTCTCACTTCCATGTAAAATCTGTATGTCAACTGTTGAAACTATATTACTAATAAATTATTGAACTTGAAATCAATCTTAGCAAAAAAGTTTTGTTTTGATGTAAAGTTACACTAATGATTGATTGTACATTTACTCTTTTCTTTGGTTTTAGGCAACAGTACTTCAAATTAATTGATGAGTGTGTATCCCAGATTGTATTGCATAGAGATGGAATGGATCCAGATTTCACATATCGAAAAAGACTAGATTTAGATTTAACCGAGTTTGTAGGTGAGTATTTCTCTACTATTTAAATGGAAATATCTTATTGTCTCTTATTCTATGAATGAGCTCTAGGGTATTGGTTCTCGGGTTGTGTATCTGGACTCCCGAGGGCCCTAATTGTCAAAACTGTTTTCATAATAGCACAAAAACATTATTTGCCTTTTTTATTGGGTTGGTATTTTACACTGGAGGTGCAGAACAATGGTGAGTAAAACTCCTGGCACTTTGTTATGAATCAAGGCAGTGGCACTGAACTGTGGGAGTAGTCATTGTCATCTTTACTGTCAATAAAACATCCAAAAAACTGCCATTTTTTACCTAAGAATGCCTTTGATAAGGTCCTAAAAATGTTAACTTTATTAAAGATGGACCCTTGCATACATATTGTTTTAATATTCTGTGTTAACAAATGGGATTTATACATACAGTACTTCTGCTGCATATGACCAGTGCCTGATGTTACAAATTCTCCATAGGCAAAAGATCTATTAAAAGAGTTCAATAAGAAAATATTTGTGTAATTGAGTTGCAAGCAGAATTGCCCGCCCTGCCGCCAAAGCCTTTTTTTTTTTAAACTTGGAATGACTCATACAGACGACAGCTTCTGTAACTTGAGAGTTTTTTTTTTTTTTTTTTTTTTTTTAAGATAATCAGAGCATTATTAGTTAGTGTTGTAACATTTGAGTTTTTATTTAAGTTTTCGTCAGGCACTTGCTTTCTTAAAAATGAAATAAAATGAGCCTATAACTTCAAAGAAAATGGCCGATAAATATGCTGCCAATGAGAAAATTTGAGTTTTTAAGTGGAAATTTGAATTTTGAAAAATTTGTATTTGCTGCTTTTAGGCTGACAGGTTCTCAATACTAAAATTATTTCCTGATGTCACTGGTGTTATTAACCTGATTATTCATTGTGATATTGTAGAAAGACATGTTAACATTTGGAACATTTGCATGACTCAGCACACCATTCTTTTCCATATGACCAGTGCCTGATGTTACAAATTCTACATAGGCAAAAGATCTATTACAAGTGCAACATTTATCAAGAGATTTTAGGGTAACAGAGTACAAGTTAATTGATATGATATGTGATTCCACATATCATATATGTTTAAAAGTGCAACATTTATCAAGAGATTTTAGGGTAACAGGGTAAAGTTAATTGATATGATACGTGATTCCACATATCATATGTGTTTAAGAAGTCACCATTTGTCAGATTTCGATATAACATCAAAGAAGATTATCCACAATGATTTGAAAAAGCTATTAAAATACACCTCTCATTTTCAGCTATGTATCTGTGCAGAGTTGTGTTTCTTTATCTGAGTCCAGGGAGAAGAATGAAACATAATTAGTGAAGAACTAGATAATAATGAAAATGCTTGTTTCTCTCTATAAGAGATAAACAATTAGAAGTTCCTGTGGTGGGGGGAGTGGGAAGAGGACGCAGAAATTAAGGATATGGTGCTGTAAATATGCAGCACACTAAAATGTGGAATGATTTTGAATAGTATCTGAAAAAATTTATTCCACTGAGTAATTTAGGAATGGCAGCTGAGAGGTTTTTTTCACTGAGCTCTTGAGAAGGAAATAAAATATTTGAACACCATTTGCCTGTATAAATGATGCATGCTTACATAGTTTTAATAAATTAATTGTATTTACTGATTTTTAAATATTTAGAATAAACTCATAAGTAAATACAAAAGGTTTAAATACAGAAGAGAATGTCATTGTATTTCCATGAATAGGTGAGAGAAGAACCAAAGTTGGACAATAGGGGAAAAAGGTGTTGGAAAGCATAAGGCACAGATAATTTGACATACTATAGCAAGAATTTTAAGTTATTGTTAAGGTAATGGGAATCAAAATTAAATATTTCATGCTCTGGAGTAATCCAATTTAGTAAATATCAAAAATTAGGATTAGATAGAGAACAAACACTGTTTTAATCTTTTATACCAGAAAGTTATCTATAATGTCTTAAATAGATAAATCAAGAAATAATAGTTATGTACATTTTATTTAGAGTTAAGAAACTAACCACCAAAATAATCTGGTATAGAAATGGCCGTAAGAGGTTGCATTTAGGAAGTGTGATTGAGATTTGGATGCAGTAACTTTGTTGACTTATTTTTTATTACAAATTCTTCTGTAATATATTTTTATAAACCTTGTTCATGTATCACTTTTATTCAATAAAAAAGAAGGGATAGCATATATTATGGGAAATCCATATGAATTACTTGTCCTACATTGTGTTCTGTCATGTATATATATCGTAACTTATTTAAGCAATTCATTATTGATGGGCATTTAAGTTATTTTCAGGTTTTTTGTTTTTTTGGCTAACATCAGAAAATATTTTAATGATTATTCTGGCCTAATGGACAAGTCTTTGAAATGGAATTGCTAGGTTAAAAGAAAATCCATATTTACAATTTTAGTACATATTGCCTAGTTTTTCATCAGCAAAGTTCTTAACTTTCACTATTGGTTTCCTCATGTCAACTCCAACACTTGGCATTATCAGTCATTTAATCTTCACATTCATATTGTTAATTTTCATATTGATAGGGAATAATAAACATTATTCATCTGCTTTAGTGATTTTTTTAGTATCAATTTTTCTAACTTTCTGTTTATTACTGTTGCTGGGTTTTTTTTTGTTTTTTTTTTAGCTTGGTTAGACATCATCTTTTTTCTTTAAAATATGTTCCAATTGGTGATAGAAATACTTGAGTGTTATTACAATTGAACATTCTCCTTTTGCCTGCTGGAAGTTTAAAACTGTTACTGAGTTTGGCTTTTCCTGTTTTCTGTTTTCTGGTATCATGCTTAGAAAAGCCTTTTTCATTCCAACATTATAATTTTTTTTTCCATTTTATTTATTACTGGTAGTATCAGTATTATTTTCTATGACATTTTTTTTCTAAACTTTTGAAGTCATAATGAGTTTAAGAACTATCACATTAAAAATTTCCTGTCATTGCAATTTTAGACGTTTGCGTAGATCAAGCAAAACTAGAAGAGTTTGAAGAGAAAGCATCAGAACTTTATAAGAAAGTAAGTAGTTTTGACTAACTTTGTAGTACTCTCTGGGGAACCACTGCAGGCAGGCATGCTTCTGCCTCAGGGAATTTGCTTGTTATTCCTTCTTTCTTCTTTATCTGCTTCAGGTATGTGCACAGATGCCATCCACCAAGGAGGACTTTATAGACCATTGTATCTAAAAAATCTTAACTTCCCACTCCCAACCTTGACCTTCCCTATTCTTTCCTTATTTGTTTTCTTTCAATATATTTATCATCATCTGACATGCTACATAGTTTAGTATTTACATGTGAATGAATTATCTATTTCACCCTAAGAGTAAACTTTGAGGCATTTTGTTGCTTTATTTACTATCCCTGCACCAAGAACTTTTCCTGGCCCTTTGTAAGAACTAAAAAGATACTTTTTGAATGAGTAGATGATTGAGCAAAATGTATGTAATCAAAATTTTAAGATTGTGGTAATTCTCAAGAAATCATATTATTTAGGGCCTTAAGAATGAAATCATATATAAAAATTTTAAGAGAAAAGTTAACTTGCTTTTAGTTTTGATTAAAGTTGTTTCATTGTATTAGTCGAACTTTATAAAATTGCCATGTTCATGGGTCATAGCTATTGGATATTACCAGTTTTGTTTCAACCCAGTAGTATTTCTAACCATCCAGCCAATTCCTTACTTTTCTTTAACCCATTTATGCCTGAGATTGCAATTTTTTTGAGTTTTGAAAAATCAGACATTGGCAATGACCTTGAGCAGTAGGATATAAATAACTCCCACATGCTCAGTGTTCCAATAATGGAACAGTAGGCATAAATTTAAGGTACTGTTTTGTCCTTTTATCTCTGGCTTAACAAGTACCTATTTGACTTTTAATTTGTTGTTTCAATTCTTTGCATTTTAAATAGTCAATCTGATTTGAATTATTCAGATGGTTTTTCACATTGAAGGAGTGATAATAATTATTACTACTATTGCCCCCATGATGAACCCACAGTGAACATTTACTAAGTGAATATTTACTATGTGTTAGGCATCATGCCAAGGAATATATGTTTTTGATGTGGCGGATACTAAATGTATCTTGAGGCAGTCACACATTTCTATAAACTTTGAAGATAAAACTTAAATTATAGGCACTATTTCGGAGGTTAAGACTAACTTAAGAAAAACATTATAAATGTCCTCAGGGGCCTTAAGGTTCTGACTTCACCAAACGCTAAATGAGAGGTTGTTATTTCCCAGGCCTTCGGCTGCAGGTTAGGATTACAGTTGTGAATATGATATTGTCGTTGCTCTGAAGTGACTTAGTTTAGTGGGGGAAACAAATTAATGGATCATTTAAATTTAGTCTCATAGTGTTACAGTGGATAGATGTTCATGTTGTGGGGTGACCCTTCACCCAGCCAACATTGCATTCTGAGCTCGATAAGCACTTTAACTCTTTATAGGAAAGTAGTAGTAGACTTTCAAGTGCTTGATTTGGATACATCCCAGATAGTATAAATTTGATTTTGTTACCATTTTTAGGTATGTAGTATATATGAATGGAGTTAAACATGAATGGAGTTAAAGTTTCTCAACAAATTTTTTAAAAAAATTGTAGGCTTTAAATATGAATAGAAGAAAGACCTTGTTCAAGGTTAGTTGTCTCCTTTTAGTCAGAAATTATATGTCTTAGGTGTATTCAGAAAATACTATTTGCTCCATAAAATATTTCTATTGCCATATCATTTTGTATATATCAGCAAAAACTTTGTTCTGATACCTTTATAAGGACACATGTAAATACTTTGCTTTAGGCAGGAAGCTATCGTGGTTGCTAGACACATTCTTTATTTTGGTGCATAAATTTGAAAAATGAAGACCAGAAATGTCAGAAAGTATATAGAGAATATTGAATTACCAACCTTCTTGTACAGATGCACTCATACATTCACCCTAGGGAATGAAATTAAGCAGAGCCTCAACCTTAACTGTGTTTTTCAACATTTTTTGCGTGTAATTTTGTAAGTGTAATATTGCTCTAGTAACCCTTTTTGGAGAAGAAGGCTATCATATCAGTTTTTATAAGGTGTGCTTTTAATGGAGATTCATTTTGTCCTCAAGGTTACAGTGATTTGACTATAGATATTACAAAAATTCTAAAGCAAAGTTTATATTTCAGCTATCTTTTTATAGGGGAAGATGTGTAAATTTATTTTTTCATAAGTAATACTGTTACTTTCAGTATGAGTGAGTTAATTTAATAAGTGTTCTTAGAGTTTACCAATTATGACTGTGGTGATTTTTATAATTTTTATCTTAAGTCCCGAAATAATTCTTTTTAATTAAGAATTTTAGTCTAGGGTTTATGAAATAGGATAGTGCACATATTGATATTGTAGTAAGGCTTTTTCATTCTTACTCTTATAAGAAAAACAATTTTTTTTCTTGCTGTGTAGCAGTGAACTTTGTCTTAGTTGTCAAAAAGAGAAAATGACCTCAAAGATTTCTGATGCTGGGAGAGTGACTATGTTGACACAGTCATTCAACATATAAAGGAAGACTTGATGGGGTTGGCTCATCACTTCGTTCAACAAATATTTATTTGACTTTAATTGTAAATGTATGACACTGGAAAGGTGATGAATAAAGTAGAAAAGTTTCTCATATTTATGAGTTTCAGGTTGGTGAGTGTTATTGAGGTGTATTATAGTAATATGTATGTTGGCGATTTTTTGTTACAGTGTGCAATTGGTGTGGTAGACAAACCCTATGTGGTATGTAAGCCCAGAGGAAAGGTCCCTTACCTAGTCATGGGTGGCCAGGGAAGCCTTCTCGAAGGAAATGATGTCTAATCTGAGCCTTGAGGAATCACTATGAAGAACAATGCGAGATAGCCAAGAAAGGATGTGTATCTAAATTTCTTTTGAATTTCCTCTACATATCTCATGCTGAGCATATCCAAAACCAAATTTATCTTTCTTCTCCCTAAAAATATCTTTTTCTCCTGCATTTTATAACCTTATTTATTTTCCCCAAATAACAACACTTTTTTTTTCCAGCCTGTAAAACAACAAAACCCTGTAGTCATCTTAGATATACTCCTCTCTCTCATTTCCTTCATTCAATCAGATACTAACATTTTTGGGTTCTGTAGTCTTTTTTCATTTCTTTGTCATTACCGTCTCCTCCACCTTAATTCAGAAGGCCTTCAGTTCTCTCTTGGATAACTGCAATAGCCTCCAAACCAATTTCCATGCCTCTAGTATGTCTTTTTCAGCCCATCTTTCACACTGCTGCTGGTTGAGTTTTTGAAAGTAAAATTTTGATTATGTTATTTACTTATTATACACACCCTAATAACTCTCCAGGATTTTTAAGGAAAAAGGATTAACTCTTTGGCTTACTGCAAAATTCCTTTCAGCAGTTTTATTTCTGTGTACATCCCTGGTTTTATCCCCTTCAGTTTGTTCTCATATCTCTTTTTGTGCCCCTTACAAAGTATTGCTTGTCATTCATCCACACGCTGAAATGCTAGTAAATTTTTCAGACTTTGAGGTCAAGCATCATTCCTCCAGGAATCATTCCCCAGCTTTCAGTCTCTCTCTCTCTGTCTCTCTCTTTATTGCTGGTATTTTTAATGGATTTAGGGTTGTTAGTTTGCTTTTACTTCTCCACCAGCCACTGTGCTTACTAAAAAGTACACTGATCATACTCTGTTTAACTGTGTCTCCAGAACCTACCACTCTGAGTGGGCGTATCTCGGGTGTGTTGTTAAATATTTATCGTGTAACGGGAAATAGGTAGATTAGGGCCAGATGCTAGAGGGTTCTTAGATAGTAATGATTGTAATGAAGTCACTGATAGTTTAAGAACAAAGGAGTCATGTTATTTGAGCTGCCTTTTATAAAGAATAGCAACATTCAAAAAACAAATCTTACAGGGGGAAACATGTTTGGTTTTGAAAATATGTTTTTTTGTCTGTCTTGATAAGTTTTTATTAAGTGGTTGGAAATATATTCATGGACTGATTTGTAGCCTGGAATTCAGATGAGAAGCTGAGATATTGATAGGGATTTGTAAGCCATCAGTGTATGCATGGTGATTTAAACATGGGTGTGGAAGATGAGACAAGTAGGAGGGGGATGAGGAAAGGGTCCTATAGAGTGCCAACATTAGTGGGTTGGATTTTGTAGAAACCCATAACAGGAATTGGTAGGAGCACTCAAGGAGTAGCAGGAGAACCAGAAGTGTGTGTTGTAATGGAACATACAGAAAAGAGGTTGAATATGAAGGCCTATTTGTAGGTATTTATGCTATAGAATTGGCCTGTCTAATATGGGATGGTGGAAATGTTTTATAATCGATATTGTTCTACATGGTAGTCATCAGCCATATGTACCTGTAGTGTACTTTTTAAAATGGCTGGTGTGACTGAGGAACTGAATTTTTAAACTTTATTTTTGATAATTTGTGTTTACATTTAAATAATCATTTGTGGTCAATGGCTATGATATTGAAATAGCATGGCCCTAGAGAGACCACCTAAGATGAGACTGAGAGAAGTCCAGGGAATTTGGACTTCTGGAATTGGAATTTGGTAAGTCAGGGTTTTTAGAATGAATTATAGCTAAGTTGTGACAGATAATGACATGAGTGGAGTTCAACAGGTCAGAAAAGTGAGTATGGTTTAAGAATACTCTGAAAAAGTTGACTTTTAAGCTAAAGAGAGATTGGTAAGAGGGGTTATAAGGAGTAAAATGAGGGATGAAAGTACAGAGGGGTTAACTATGCAAGGACGATGTGAAGGCAATTGATTTAGCAAGTCCTTAGGGGGAAGCACTGGGTGACGGGGGAAGATGGGCGGACCTCTGAGACTCATGCATGGCTTGTTTAGTAGATTAGTAATTTGATTAGATTTAGGCTTAGAATCTTTTAAATTATTTAACAGTAAGAGTGGTTTGTAGGAGCTGTAGTAGTAGTGAGGAATGGTAATGTTGCTGTGGCTTAGGTCAACTGAAGGACACTTGGACAGTTTTTACCTATTAGTTTTTGTTATCTTAATAAAGGAACACAGGGTTGAGACTGAGAGGATCAGTAGTCTGAAATTTACCTTCCTTCCCTGTAAAATGGGAATTAAAGCGATATTTCTTATTTCACAGAGTTTTTGTAATGAAATCTAAGAATGCCTCTTTTTGTGCTTTAAAAACTATAAAGTATGGGGGGAGATAATACATGTGTAGGGTTAGGGGGTATGTGGAAAATCTCTATTTTCTGTTCAATTTTGCTGTGAACCTAAAAACTGCTCCAAAAATTCGTCTGTTAAGTAAAACTGTAAAGCATTATCTACACGTTAATTGCAGGGAGGTGGCATAGTTTCATTTGAACTCAGACTCTGAAGGCAGGAAATCTGGCTTTTTAATCTCACATCTTTTACTAGCTATGAAGGACTAGCAACTGCCTCTGTGTTATTAAGGACAAAATAAGATTCCCTTTATAAACTAAGTAAAAATAAAAGCCCTTTGTAAACGGTGGAGTTCTACATTGTTGTTATTTTCCTAATTGAGGTTTGAGTATATTTAAAATGTAGAGGCCACATTTGTGAGATAGTTGCATTTTTTTGATGAATTTTTTTTTTCATTTTTTTTTTAAAGAAAGTCAAATGCTCGTGTTTGTGAGACAAAAAGGATATTTTTAGTTATAATAATGACAAAGTTGAATCTATTTGAATGCAAGATGAGAACTGGTGATTAGTGGATATATAAATTCTTATAGAAAACTCACTGGATTCACCAAATTTTATTGTTCGCTTTTTTTTTTCCAGAAGGTATTTCACTAGGGACTTTGAAAAATTAATTTATCATTACTTTCCCAACGATATTTGGAAATATTATGTTGTTATAGGAAAAAAGTTAGAAACTGAATAGAATGGAGTTGTTTAGTAATAAAAAATATTAAAATGGAATCCCCTAAATCATTTTGATATACTTCAGATAAGTTTCAAGAATAAGTTTTTGCAAGTGGGGGGTGCAAGGTATTCGTACAATGCTTTGCTCTCTATTATTTTACACAAAGTCACAATAATATTTAGAGACTTTGAAGAAAATGCCAAGGTTACAGACAACTGTGGCCAGTTTGCTCTGCAGAGAGGTCACAGCTTTTGTCTGCGGCTTTTTTCTGCCCCCTTGTGAATGAATGATTTTGGTTGGGACCTGGAGGGGCCTAGAGAAAGACTCTCAGTGACTTTTCAAAACTCTACCACTCCTTTCATAAAACCAATTCAGGAATTTGTGTTCTACTGGCAGATCATTCGAGTCATATTTCTGTAAGAAGAATAGTGCTTTTCATTTTCATCTTTCTGTTTTTGTTATTATTTTTAATTTGTTTCAGTTTGAAAAAGAGTTTACCGACCACCAAGAAACTCAGACTGAATTGCAGAAAAAAGAGGCAAAGATTAATGAGCTTCAAACAGAGCTACAAGCTTTTAAATCTCAGGTAAAATTCCACTTCGAGTGAATTTGGGTATTAAAAACACAGTGAGGGAGCAAAGGTTATGTTATATCTTCATAGCATCAAAATGTTTAAACTTTAATTTTGCTTGTATATTTTTATAGCATTATTTATATGTACTTGTGTTTGCTTTTTTTGGTCTTTTTTTTCTATATGTATGTATATCTAAGCTTTTACTAATTATTCTGCTTTTTTATGTTTTGTTTGAGTTTTGTTCCTAATGTCACATGTTTCCCAAGTAATTAAGCATAAAGAGTAAGAAAATCTTTTACTCTCAGATTTGTTATTCATCACTGATCTTTATCCCACTACAGGAAATTATTGCTCAAGCTATTTATTTTTCAAAACCTTCAGCCTAGGGGTCCCTTGCAGTAAAAGATAACCTCTAGCTGAATGAGAACATTTTCTGATAATTTTTCAATTTCCAAAGTAAACAGATTTAAAACATGACAAAAAAGAGAGTAAATCTGGATTATGAAGCAGATAGCTCCCATGCACCCTCTACACATAAAACATTTAGATAGCAAGAAATACGTCATCTGCATGCTGTATGTTGATGTAAGTAAGGAGGTAGAATATTCATAGCTAAATTTCTTCATGTAGATTTACGTACAGGATGATGAGCAATAAGTATAGTTTTGCTATTTTGCTTTCATCTTAATTTATGGTTATGTTGAAATAGTCTCAGGTATACTGTATCCTCTCTTATTGGCAATTTTGTTTTCTTTTAAATGCTTAGTGGATAGTTTTGTTACTGAGGCTGTCTGGAGATACCTTAAGAGATAGCTATCTGTTAGTATTCAATTTGAGAAAAAAATTAAAATCTCCTATCTACAAGAAAATTATTCTCATTCATCTTCGTTTTTTAGTGCTGTAAGAGGGAAGTATCACAATTTATTGAATTTTTTTTTTATCTTTCCCACATGGCTCCTTGTCTCTCATATTGAAAGAAACATTTGATTGTGTCTGTACTTCAGACTGAGTTATAGACAATGGCTGAAATATTTATGACAAGTTTTTCTTGGTCTGGGCTAATGTAAATTTAAAAACTTTCTTTTCTTTTTAATTATATTCAGTTGAAGGTTTATTTGTAAATCTTCTCCAGAAAATTCCAGTTTACAAAAAATGTAGCCATCATTTTTGGATAAGTTATTGCTGCACAGTGCTTTTATATGATAGGAATAAGTATATGTTTTGAAAGTGAGATTAGGCCGGGCGCGGTGGCTCAAGCCTGTAATCCCAGCACTTTGGGAGGCCGAGGCGGGTGGATCACGAGGTCAGGAGATCAAGACCATCCTGGCTAACATGGTGAAACCCCGTCTCTACTAAAAATACAAAAAACTAGCCGGGCGTGGTGGCGGGCGCCTGTAGTCCCAGCTACTCGGAGGCTGAGGCGGGAGAATGGCGTGAACCCGGGAGGCGGAGCTTGCAGTGAGCCGAGATCGCGCCACTGCACTCCAGCCTGGGCGACACAGCGAGACTCCGTCTCAAAAAAAAAAAAAAAGAAAGTGAGATTAAATCAAGGAATCTCCTAAATTGTTTTAAATTGTATGCAGTGATGACCCATGTTTATGGCTATGAGAAGAAAAGCTAGAATTAGATACTTAATATTGGCCACCATATGCTCATGTTGGAACAACTGGCAAATTCTTTCTTTGGATGCTGGTTTATTTCTTATGAAATGAGGACATTTATCTTAAGATCTTTCTTTTTGTTCAAAGCTATGCTGACTATGAAGAGTATGAGTAAAATATGTTCTGTTATCTGTAATTTAATTCCTTTGCTCCTGTAGTCTCTTCACAACCAGATACTTTAGGTGCTGGAGAGACATAGTGATGAGCCGATAGTCACAGTGTCTGGCCTCCCAAACCATATCTTCAAGTCAGTCTTCACACTTTATCAAATGAACTATTCTAGAGCAGAAATTCAGCCATATCTTTAAGACACTGATAGTTAATTATCAAATACATTCAAAGGTTGGTACCATCTTTGAACACAGCAACCCAGATTACCACTGAACTGGTTTTTCTTTATACTTACTGGTTTTAATAAGGCATGCTTTTGATTTGTGGCCTCAACTTCTTTTATAACACTGTTTTCTTTGATTTCAGACGTCATTGATTTCAAGCTTTTGTACATGGTCTATTTTTCATAATTGTGCCATGAAAATTTAAAATTATGTAACATTTATTAAAGGCCCACCATGTGAAAGGCAGTTAGAATTGAAGTTTGTAATTTCAAGAAGCTAATCATATTACAAAAGTTATTTATTAACCCAGAATATCTTTTTTGTATCCATCGAAATGCATCTGTTAAATTCTTATTATGCCACGGAAACATGAGGACAAAAGTGACCAGTGGACACAGGCGGTTCTTTTTCACCCCTGATTTTACCTTGCTTCTCTGTGGCGTTTGATTCTGCAAAGCAGTCTTTTAGGTGGTGCTCTCTTCACTCATGGTTTTTGACCCTGTGCTTGGCTTTTTCTTTTCTTGTCTTTCATGCATTTATGCTATACATTTCTTCCATAGCTATCATGTACCATTCACTGCTTTAGGTGCTGGGGAAAGAGCAGTAAATAATACAAGATAGTCACTTACCTCATCAAGCTTATAATCTGTCAAAGAGGTAAATGCTAATAATTCCTTAAATAAATTAACACTTTTGATAAGAGCTATTGAAAAGTACAAGGTGGTATGAGTGTATAATGAGTGGTCAGATAAGGCTTTCCCAAGGAAGGGACCTGGTAGCTCAGACTGAAGAGGCTAGTAGGAGATGGTCAGGTGAAGAGAATGTTCCAGGCAGAGAGGGAGCAGCATGTCCAAGGGCCCTGAAATTAGCATGAGGTTGGCACATACACGGAATTAGAAGAAAGTCACCTGCAAGACCAGATGGCAGGGACCAGATCATGACATACTTATATAGACCCTATGAAGAATTTTAATTTTTTGTTGTTGTTGTTGTTTTCTCAAGTGCATTAGGACACCATTGAGAAGATCTGAGCAAAGGCATGATGTGGCAATATCATTTAAGTCCTTTTTTTGAAACCTTATTTTTTACTTATCACTTAAATGCTTGCATTCCATAGAACTCTGTGCATAGACCCTTTGTCATGCTACATATTCTCTCCATACTGTGAGTGAACTTCTCTGCTTCCCTGATTTCAACTGTTTTCCAGAGACTACTGATTTTCAAATCTTCTAGATCCACATACCCCTTTCCCTCCTGGACATTTCTACCTAGATGGTCATACCTGCCTCAAAACAGGGAATTATACTTCTGGCAATTATGTTTTTATGAGGGAAAAAAACCTGCAATCTTAAATTAGAAGAAAAATTGTTGGAATTTTGAATTTTGGTTTAACCATATGAAATTACTGATGTTTAATTATTTTGGTTTAAATGAATACCTTATTTTTGAGTAAAGTGCATATTTACAAGTTTTTTAGACATTTTCTTAGTTATGTTTCATTGTTTTTTTTCTCCAGTTTGGTGCCTTACCAGCTGATTGTAATATTCCTTTGCCTCCCTCTAAAGAAGGTGGAACTGGCCACTCAGCACTTCCTCCTCCGCCTCCACTGCCTTCTGGTGGAGGGGTGCCGCCTCCACCCCCTCCCCCACCACCTCCTCCACTTCCAGGAATGCGGATGCCATTCGGTGGTCCTGTGCCTCCACCACCTCCCCTGGGATTCCTTGGAGGACAAAATTCTCCTCCTCTACCAACCCTGCCATTTGGGTTGAAACCAAAGAAAGAATTTAAACCTGAAATTAGCATGAGAAGATTGAATTGGTTAAAGGTAAAACAAATTAATAGCGGAAAATACTTTTACCTAGATCTAAATCTAATTTTGGATTTATATATACATAATTTCTAATGGAATTTAATTTATACATAATTTAATTTATATATATGTAATTTCAAATGTCGCTAATCAAAGTGACAATAAAATAGCGTTTTTTTTTTTTTTCTTAAAGTATTAGGATAAAGCCCTTTGATATTGACTAAGACTTTCTGGTTTATAAATATGGTGAGAGTTGATGTTGTTCCAGTGGAATGTGATTTGTAATTAAATTAATAATTAAGTATTATTGCAGTGAATCCTATGTTTATGAAGCGTTTCTCAAAAAAAAATGATGGTGTTCCTAGGAAATTTTCTCTATTGATAGATGTTGGGAAAGTGTTAACTAGTTGTCAGAAGCTAATGTCTAGTCAGATCTTAAGAATTCAGACTTCTGCAGAAAAATGGTTTTATGGTAACAGAAACATGGAAAATGCTGTATAATGTATCCTGCCCTTCAAGATGTATATAGTGCAGGTAAGGATTGTTAGAGACTATGAGAAATGCAATTGAGAAGAAGCTAATTAAATCATATTTCAAATCCTCAACTATTGGATCATGGAAGCGTTTTCTTCCTAATAAGACGTTAACATCCTGCAGAACTTGTATCTCACTGAACACACTTTGGGGAAAAATCTTACAGATACGACTTTATAAATTTCTGCTGGTAGCTATGATAGTATATGCATAATGCTTGGCCTCGGACAGGTGAACACTCACCTATTTATGAATCAATCTTCTCTCTGATGTAGATCAGACCTCATGAAATGACTGAAAACTGTTTCTGGATAAAAGTAAATGAAAATAAGTATGAAAATGTGGATTTGCTTTGTAAACTTGAGAATACATTTTGTTGCCAACAAAAAGGTAAGTTTTTGATTATTTATTAACTTATAATTTATTGATTATAAATTATTATTATTTAATTAATTTAATTTTAGAATTTTAACATGATACTTTTTACATACCAATTTTTAGAAAACATTGGTTTTTGAATCCTGTACATGATATTTTTACATTCCTAATGGGCAAATAAATGGTATAATGAAATAAAGTGCTTAAAAAGTAAATTCTGTTTTAAAAATACAAAAGGTTAATATAAAATTTTGATTATTAAATTTTCTATATAATATTATTTTTGAAGATATTCCATTGGGATAAATTAGACTTTTGTAAAAGAGGACATTTTCAGAGACAGTTTTGGCATGAGAATGTCCTTTAGTTTGAAAAATAAAAAAACAAAATATGTGCTTTCTTTTAGTTAGAATTTTACTACCCTTTAGTATTATAGTGACTTGGGGGGCTAGGAGAGGGATAGCATTAGGAGAAATACCCAATGTAGATGACGGGTTGATGGGTACAACAAACTGCCATGGCACATGTATCGCTATGTAACAAACCTGCATGTTCTGCACATGTATCCCAGAACTTAAAGTATAATCCAAAAAAAATTACAGTGACTATCACATAATTTAATTAATTGCTATGAGTCACATGGGATAGAAATATCAAATTTATAGTGTCTTAAGAGTTAGCTTGAAAGAGAAGTATCTGAGTAGATTATATGATCTTTTCATTAAAAGCAATGGCATTCATTTTCCAGAATGTTTTGTGATAGGTTTTACCTATGTAGTGTGATTTTTAAAAATTGTTTAGGTATTACGTAAGTCTGAAAATTGAACTTATTTCATCCAGTTTCGTGTGCCTGCTACTTGCATTTCAAAACTGATCTCCACACAGAATTTTTAAGTATTATATAAAACTTACATTTTAGGTCTGTAGTGCAAAACACTTAGATCAATCATTACTTTTTAATTTTCCAAAAGAACTTTTTCACTGTAGACTTATGCCACCTATATCCCTGGGCTCATAGAACAAAGGAAGAGGTGGCAGGGAGAGATTGTACTGGATGGATACAGGTCAGAGACTTTTGTGTAGAGGGTTGAGTTGACTTCTTAAATGTTGACTGTTATCCAGGCACCATGCTAGATGCCTTATACATCTGATTTAACTTGAGCACAGCAGCCAAAGAATGTTGGCAGATATTTTAAAAATGTATTTGTATTCCTTTGAATGACTTTCTGAAAGATTAGAAACTCTTTCTAAAAGGTAATTGTAAATTAAGAAATTCTCAATGTAAATTAGAAACTCTTTCTAAAAGGTAATTGTAAATTAAGGTAGTTTTCTAGAATTTGGTAAATCAAAAACCGTTAACAGATATTTTTGAGTACCATTTATCCTGACTAAAATATTAAAAATGGTATATTTTTGGTCTTCGAACACAGGGAGAATTTTCTCAGCAAGCTCACCCTAGTAAACTTGTGAATAAGATTTTAATTTTACCTTTTGATTATGAAGGATCAAAATTTTCTTTGAATAAGATTAGTGTACTCTTCTGGCAATCAAGGAAAATATATGGCAGTTAAAATTTGTATTTACATATAAAACACTTCAGAATTTCAGATTTCATTATCTGGAATTGATTAGTTTTCCTTTTGCTTTCCTAGTAGGTACAAATGGTGGTTCCTAAAAACTATTTAAGTAATGCTGCCATAGAGCTACTCTCTCTTTTTTTCTCCTTACTCTGATTACTTTCTTAATTAATGAGGCTCAAAAGGGAAACTTGTTAGCATGTCTTTAATTTAGCTGTAGTGTTAGCCCTAAATGAAATAATTGGACCTTTAAAAAATTCTTAAGTCATCTAACTTTAGCCTTGAGATTCAAGGTTGAAAAAAAAAAGTGATATATTTGCTGAATCTAATAGTAGTTAGAAAGATTAAGGTGAAAAGGTGATCAGTTTTTGCATACTCCTTCTTTCCATCTCTCTCTGCCTTTGTACTGCTGGTCCTTTGGCCTGAAATCTTTACTTGACTTAGAGGCTGGCAGAGGACTATGATACCTTCTGTCTCAACTCAACTCAAATGCTGCTTTCTTTTTTTCTGTGACAGTAGATGACATTTCCAAGGGGAACACAAAAGGTGGGGAAGCCCAGGGTTGTGACTTCGAGCAGTGCTAACATTTGTCAGTGGTAAGCAGAGATGAGCTGTAAAGGTAGCTATTTTTTTGAGACTTCATTTTAAAGAATAATTCCTAGAAAGCATTATTTGAGGAGTCCTAAGAATGCTTTTTGGCATTACTGGTCATCTGGCAATCAAGGAAAATACATTGCAGTTAAAATGTGTATTTACATGCAAAACATTTCAGAGTATTTTATAGGAAAGGTCAGTCATTGCTCCGTTCAGAGAAACGGTATTTTATATTGCCATTTAATAGGAAAGATCAGAAAGGAAGGAAAGAGAAAGAGGTCCAGAGAGCTTAGACAAGACTGGTCAAGTCGACAGGTTGCTCTTTGTGGTCTCTATTCGTGACCTGGCTGCTGAGGCATTGAGTCCAAATGTTACATTCACCTGTCCCCCTGACTCCAACATACTTCGTTTGAATCAATTTTGTAATTGCTGCATAATTCAAAATTATGGCCGGATGCAGTAGCTCCCGCCTATAATCTCAGCCCTTTGGAAGGCCGAGGTGGGTGAATCACTTGAGGCCAGGAGTTTGAGACCAACCTGGCCAACATGATGAGACCCTCATTTCTACTAAAAAAATTAAAACAAAAACAAACAAACAAAACAGCCAGGCATGGTGGTGCACACCGGTAGTTCCAGCTACTCCAGAGGCTGAGGCATGAGAATTGCTTGAACCTGGGAGGCAGAGGTTGCAGCGAGCCAGGATCATGCCACTGCACTCCAGCCTGGGCAACAGAGTAAGACTCTGTCTCAAAAAAAAGAAAAAAAAAAAAAAACCCCAAACAAAACTAAACCTGGTCACTTATATATTGTTCATTCCAAGGTGAAAATCCATTTGTCTTTCCACCCTTTAGCAAGCCAGTGTGGGAGATAGAGGCATTGGCTGCTGGCTGATTTTCATCACAACTAGGCGGGAAAGGATGGTAATTACTGAAGAATAGTGGGTTTTTTAGAGAAATGGCGTATCTCTGTTTTTTATTGCAGTAGTAACTGGACTGAGAATCAAGGCTATTTCTTTGATTATAAAGAAGGACATTCCATCCCAGGCATTTAAATGATAGATGCCAGTCCTTTGTGCTTCCCGAGCATTCAAACAAACAAACAAACAAACAAAACCAAAATAGGTAGTAAGAACAAAGGAACCGAATCCAATCATTTAAAGAGATCCTTGAAGATTTCTCTCTTGTAGCCTTTATTTGTTGTCAAATAAGTGGGTTTTTTTTCTTACGGTAGACACTACTTTAGGTTTTCAGGACTTTTACTGTTTAGACCACTGGGATTTACAAGTCTAATACATTGAGAGCTGGAAAAGGAGCTAATATCTATTGCACATACGTGATATGTCAGTGCCTGAGCTGGGTTGTCTTCCTATTATCTTGTTTAATCTTTACTGTATCTCAGCTGAGATCTTTTCTTTTGGTCTGCTGATGGCAAAACAATTCTGACTTCTTGCTATACTATCCTGCCCTACCTACGTTTACACTACCAAGATATTCTTGATAAAGGCTTGGATATTTCCTCTTAATTCCTGTTGCCTTTTATTACATTCCTACTTTTTTTTTTTTTTCCAATTAGATCTTACCTATTCTGCTTTTTAAATTAATCTTTGTGACCATTTATAATGCTTCTGTGGGAAAGTACCTTGTGCCATATCTGTAGAGGAATAGGAATCCTCTCTAATCCTTTTCTTGTGAAAAATCAGTAATTTTTTCCTGATTCACTTACATCATTTTCTTTTATACTTTATTTTGCTGTTAAGTAACTCACTTTGGTTTTCTTGATTCTCTCTTGTAAGTTTTTGGGATACATCTCAGCTTTCTATATTTTAAATTATTCTGGAAATATATATAGACACTTTTCCAGATTATCTTTTTTCTTTTTCTCATACCTCCTCTTTCATATCTTCCACTTTTTCTTATTGGCTACCACTGCCCCACTCAACAAATATTTATTGGGTGCATATTGCATGTTGCGCCTCGTGCTTGACACTGGGGATGCCAGCATGAGTAAGGCAGGCGTGCTTCCCTGACTCCTGTTGCTTTTACATTCCTGATGAAACTCAGTCAAGCTCTTAGTTGAAGCATAATAACAAGGAGTGGAATAACAAATGCTGATTTGGATTTTAGAAAAGACTGACATAGTTTACTAAATTCAGCTTCTGTTAAGACTTAACAAGGTTATAAAAGAACATTGTTTATATTTCTCTCTGAAATTTAATCATAATATTCACATATTGAACATTTGGTATCATCAAAATAATGCTAATGACCTGTGTGTTTTTTCTTTTTACCAGATTGGAAGCATCTGTTGGTTAATTTTTACAGGCTGTTGGAAAATGGATTAGAGTATACCAAAAGGTTATTGGTGTTGGATTTGTCAAGTAAAATTAATATTAATTACTTTCATTATTCACAAACTGTTAACTTAATAGGGATTAAAGGGCTTTCTGAAAGTATATGAGTAGTCTAATTCACTTAGACTAATTTATTATGAAAATGTGGTTCCACAATTGTTAGCTTTCTGAAGTAATCATATTTTATAACAGGTACGTCATACTTGCCAGATAGGGCCCATAAATTGGTTTATAAATTATTTCTCAACTGAATAGTTATGGCATATGGAAAAAGTTAATGGATTATCCACTTAAAAACAAATCAAGCTTAGATTTCTGACATCATAGTTCAGTGGACAAAGAATTGAGGTAGTAAGTGATAAACATGGATTATCCCAGCAACTTGGCTGTGTTCAAGATGTTGCATTGTATTTGAAACATAATTTATTCCTCTGTACAAACAAATGTGTATAAAAATTTTGAAACTACCTCACAAGCCTACATTAAGGTGA